TCTTCTTCCAGTACTGGACCTCCTTCCCAAATACACGTTTTTCACTCTTTCCTCACTTGGAGCCAAAATATCTGCCATTGTAGGTACCTCCTTTTAAGAGCCTTAAAGCTTTTCTTAGATGTTCTTTTCTTTTTGATACTTCTTTCAGAAAAAAGCTTAAGCAGTTTTGGAGATGGGGAATGGTACCACATAAAGGCAAAGTATATATATAGGGAGACAGAGAGCAAAATATATAGAGAGTATTACATGTGTACAGGTGTTTAACTGTAGTACTATAACCTGTGTTAGCATATAACTTTATAAACTGTAATATTTTTATTCTTGCGGGACCCTGCAAGACGTAGGAAGTAGTCTGAAATAATCCTCATTTGTCAGATATCACTTAAAAGTTTCCCAGCGATCTAGAGAAACCTATGTTTTTCTGCTCGGAGAAAGGGGGAAGCAAAATGGATTGCAGGGAAGAGGTGTGGTGAATGAAAGGAGTTTAGGAGAACTAGGCAGGCCCAAGAGAGCATGGGGAGAGTTGTAGGGAAGTGAATAGGGTAGGGATGGGAGTAGGCGCATCTTCCTTTGTGCCTTTAGGTCTGCCTTGCCAAACCACCAAGCCTTCTGAGCTTGGGACTTGGAAGCACCCTTCTTCTCTAGTGAAATTATATTAAGGAAGAGGAAATAACTGGTTCTTTACACATAAATACCCAAAAATAAAAACAGTCACTTCTGTCAACCTGAGAATTAATGCTATGACCGTTTTTTTTTTTTTTTTTAAAAAAAAAAAATCATTTCTTGAGAAGGACATTTAAATGTAATTTTAAGCTATCAAGAAATGGGAAGGAATTTTGCATTTTGTATGCAGGCCTGAATAAATAGATCCACTGAGAGACAGACAGAGCAAGTCACTTGGAATGCACCAGTCAACAGCAGAAATGTAAACATACTCCAGCTACGCTCTCTGCACTTGTCTTTCAGTGTGTCACAGAACAAAACTGCTATTGTTTCAGGCTGACTGCTGCTCCTGTTGAATTCAGTTCTGAATCCATCACAAAATCCAGTTTAATTAACAGATTGTGGATCAGAACCACATTGTGTCTGACACTCTAGAAATGCAGGAAGGCAGGAACTTGCCGCAAAGGAGTCTCTGGTCCCTCTTAAAATGAGGCTTATGGAGTTGGTTTTCAGAGCTGAGTAGGTTTAGAGTAACAGCAAGTGCATAAAATGCTGAGTCCAACAGATCTTTGTCTCTGTGTTCCAACATGTTCATGCAACCTTATCTCATAGATAGGTAGATCTACCATGTATTTATCTTCATCCGGTACCAGTCCTAGTGAAATAGCATTCACTAAGACTGTTGCATTGTGAATTGTGATAAATTATAGAAGGCTACTATCAGAATCTGTTAGAATTTTAACCTTTAAGAGTAGCAGGTTACTGGAAAAGATTTGTGTAAAAATCAAGCACCATTCGATTGGTTGTGCTGAAACTGGACTTACACTGGCAACTGTAGGGTAGCAATATTAATTTGTTAAAAACAAAATAACTTCCTCATCATATTTCTTGATGGGTTTGTGTTTGTTTTTGTTGTCTTGATACAATGAATGTCACCAGACCTGATAGTGTGATCTTGCAATTGTTTTTATTCCTGGGTATAAAAATGTGTTTTATTTATGAGGAATGTATAACAGTGATACAGCTTAATCACAAACAGAGGTAGGATCTCTCCTCCAAGAGTCTCGGCTATCTGGAAAGCAAATCTGAGTCATGTGTGGGAATCTTCAGCTTTCACTTGTGGAATCTCTTCACAAATAGAATTTCCTTGACTATAAAAGACTTGTTAAGGCATTTTTCTTTTTCTACGTCTTTTATTCTGATTGGGTTTTGCAGGACCTCAAAAAGCAACATTAGATACTGAGCTGCATGCTGAAATTCCCCTCCCTGCCTGATTTTCTATGTTTTACATATTTCCTTGCACCTTTTACAGGTCCTGCTTATTTGACATTGAGTAAGTTACCACTTTCTTCAGCTGCAGGTTTATTATAGGATCAAAGGAATTACTATAGCCTCTTGCCCTGTTATGGTTGTGAGGTACTGCAAGTATGTTCCTTTGGCAGCACAGAGAAATAGTACAACATAGTGAAATCAAATGCTGAGCAATAGCTTCCTTAGGTGTTTAAAAATAAAAGATAAATATTAGTTTCATAAGGCAGATGAACCTTAATTGCTGAATGTTTATAGAAAGTTTTGAGATGGTCAGAGGCAAGGTCCTGTGCAAATGCAGTATTTTATTAAAATATTTAATTAGCAAATTCTCTGACCCAATAGAGGGAGCAGAGATGCATGTCCACTCTTAATTTTCCCTGCCCATAGTAATTTCTACAGAACATAAATTACATATTGTATAGCTTTATTCTGTTTTCAGAGGATAATTATACTAGAAATTCCAGCCTTCTTTCTGTGAAGGGACCTCTTTCTCAGAAACCACACCTTGTAGCAGTCTGTTTTTCATTTGAGAAGGGTTGAATTCCCATTTATGTCAACAGGTTTTTATGGATTGACTACTTTCAAAAGATGGATACAGGTAAAATGGGAAACCCTTGTTCACAAATCATAATAATTTAGTCTGGAAGATATATTGGAAGCTGATGATTTAGGCGTGGAAGCTTTTTCGCATGTGAAATCTGTTAGACATTGCTCCTAATTTGATGCCTGCTATTGCAACTGAGAGAGGAGCCTGTAATTCCTGTTGTAGTTGTCTGAGCATCTCCATGCTGAGGGGGGAACTTGGACTTGGTTGCAAATGAGGCAAGACAGGATGCAAAATGGACAGTACCGTTTACTCTGTGTATGAGATTGGAGGCTTTTATGGATATATTCACATAATCATTTAAGAAGTTTAATAAACTGAAAGCCAGGGTCTTAAAATAAGGTTCACAACTCACATGTAACATACCAGGAGGGACAAGTCTCTCATTCTCCAACGTTAAAGACTGTTGGACCCAGTGTATATTCAGTTTCCTAAGAGAAAACTACTGTTTCAGAAATGTTCCAACTTAGTAGCATCCTAATAGTCACGCTTCACTGTTTTTAACATCCACAAGTAGCAAAATTATATTCCCATGTGAGTAATTTTAGCAGGGGGGTAACAGCAAGGAAACTGAATTCTGTTCAAAAATAAATTTTAAAATCCTGTTCGAGTCCTACTTCTGCTAGAAAAGTTTGTTTGTTTTTTTTTTATGTAGCTGTGGTGTACTCAAGGCGCTTTTTTTTTTTTTTTTTTTTTTATCATTGCATATGCAAAATCCAGACCTGCAGAACTGTTCCATGTGGTGAACAGTCTGCTGAACCCAGACTGTTTTGCCTGAGTAGCAGATTTCCATATACCTCATTATGAGTTAGGGTTTTTTTTGATTTATGTAGGCTCTGTTCCTTCAAAGAGATGTAAGACTGTAGACCTTTTTACCTACCAAACTGATACCTTATCAAGTACTGAGGAAAATACAAGGATAGGTCCCTTTGGAGAGTAAGAGCCTTATTTTGCAGAGAAGAACCTTCTTTCCAGCCAGTTTAATCTTTCATGGAAACAGCATGTAAACAGGAGGCTGCAAAGTAAGTTAGCTCATGAAGCTTTTTATTTGTACCCAACAACGTTCTGGATGTTTAGTGAATGATGTAAGTCGCAGTGTGTAATGCAAATTCATGTCCTTTTTGATTGGTAAAAGACCAAGAAAGATTTAGGCCAGTACTGCTGAAATAAAGTAGCATGGGCTTTAGCTGGTTGTTGCTTTATACAACCTGATTTAAATACAAAGCACTAGATCTTTCCACACCAATGAAGCCATTATCGTTGGCAATAGCAGCATTCTTCAGTCCTCCATCCTATGGTAAAGGTGATTGATTAAGGTGCCTAAATACATCTCTGAAGTTATCTTATTTCTGTGGATTCTTACCATTCAGATTTCTAGTCTGTGCATGGACAAAGTTAATATCTTTGCTCATATGATTTCCTTCTGGGAATGAACAAAATCACAGAATCAGGGAGTATAATCATGAAACAATGTAGACTGGAGGGAACCACTGGGGAGTATCTGACCAAGCCCCTCCTCAGAGTGGGGCCAGCTTAGATCAGCGTGCTGTTCTGCTAGGATTTGAGCACCTCCAAGGACAGAGATTCCCCAGCCCCTCTGGGCCTGCCTTCCAGTATTTGATTACTCTCATTGTGAAAAAGTTTTTCCTAATAGCTAACCAGAACTTCCTTTGTTGCAACATGTCTGCATTGCCTTTCATCCTGTCACTGTGCACTTCCGAAAAGATGCTGGCTCCATCTTCTCTCTATTTTTCCATTACATAATTGAAGACATCAATAGGCCTTCAATAACAATATGCCTTCAACTCCCCTCTTCAATATCCCCCCCCTCCCCAGTGTTCTCTTAAGACTAAACAAACTAATTTCTTTCAGCATCCCCCCTTACATCATGTACCTAATAATCTTTCTGGCCAACTGCCCTCTTGCTCTAGTAGGTTAAAATCCGCATTGTATTGGGAGGCCCAAAACTGGAGTAGATGGCATGGCTGACGTGCATCTGGCCATCTCCTACTCCTCAGGCCAAATTATTTTGCTTGTTCTTAGCTAGTTTGACTGAAGGTGGGTTTTTGAATAAATTGAGACTCAAAAGTCCTCACCTCTCACAATAGTAAGATAGCTACAGTGCTCTGCATCTTATTGATGGAGGCTAAGAAACAGAACTGTTTACAACTAAAAAGCTATTTCCTGAGAGAATGCTTTGCATTAGTGGTACTCTTGATTAAAGTAGTTTAATTACAGTGGGTCATGGTATAACCTGTTTTTACAGATGGTATCACTCATTACTTTTTATATCGCCATAGCATAAAGTACACTTCCTCATCATGGCCCTCTGACTTTAAGCACAGGGAAAGAGGATAGTATGGAAATCACTTTCAAATCCCAAGGACTGTACATGTAATGTTAAATGAACTTCTGTTTCTAGTGCACTTGGAGGATCATCTGCCCTTCATATCCCAGCCTTTCCTGGTGGAGGTTGTCTTATCGACTATGTACCCCAAGTATGCCAGCTGCTAACAAACAAGGTAAGTTAGTAAGGAGAGCTCAGTTTTCTTTTCCCTTATGTGCTGTACTGTACTGAAGTAACACACTATAGCATTTCCATAGACATAGCTTTTTTTTCTGCCAGGTAGTCCAAGCAGGGCATACTTACCGTAAACTACACAAAGCATACTTTCTTGATGAGTTGACCACCTAAGCAGGGCATTGAATATAATGATTCTTTCACATAATCAAGCACATTTGGGATCAGATTCTGGAGTGGTTTTTCCTATTGTGGCATGTTACAGTTTAGGATAAAATTTATTGTATCGTACAACTCTACATTGTAACAGACTATTTTGCTAGTAAATACAAATGTGTAGTTTGCATGTTATTTTTCCAGTTGGAAGTTGTGATACTATAGGCGGCATTGTAGTTTTTCAGTACTTTCAGCAATTTTCTTCTCAGATGCTTCATCCAAATTAACTGAATCAGCAGTCTATTTGGCTGTTTATACGGTAATAGCTACTTAAGGTTACTGAAAAGGTTGTGTTCTGGTTAGCTTACTGTTTAAACAAAGAAGAGTGGGTATAATATTTTGAAAGCTTCTCCATTATTAATGTGTAATTTTCAAAAGAAAGCTCAGAGGCCAACATCTAGGAATCTGCCTATTATAGACCTCCAATTTGTATATTATTTTTACCTTCAATTGTCCAAATGAGGAAAATAATTTTATCTTTTAGAAAAAGTTTTTCAAAATATGTTTCCGTAATTATATTGGAATCTATCTTTAGAGTTGTTTTTGTTGTGGTTTTCTGTTAAAATTACTTTCCGTTTTTAAAATCTGCAAGTGCACAGGACTGTTTTTATCCTTTCTTAAACAAAGTACTTAAGCAAACTTATCATATGTTTTCCTTTTCCCAAAATAACATTTCAGATCCTACACAAAGCCTTCAAAATAATCATCGTTTTTTATAAAATGAAATAAGTTTCAATTTATAAAGAGAATTTAAGGGGTACAAGATAGCTCTCAGCAGTGACTGTATCAAGGCTTTTTCAAAAAATTTGGGAAAGCGTTTGCCAGCCAAGGAATTCTGGTATTACTATAGCCAAGAAAAATATTCTTCCTGTTCTTTTCATGTTCAGTGGGGAAAAAGGGTTTTTAAAATGTTATTTTTCATTCTGGAAGGCAAGGAATTTCACATATGGAACCGTACCGTAAGTCCTTGAAGTAACCAGTTGTAAACCAGATGCTCTTGCAGCCTGACAACATGTGCATTGTTTCAGTTATGGGTCAAACCCTGTTCACACTGTTCTGCTAAGTAATTCCATTCAAATCAATAGGAAAACATACGTGGTGCGAGGAGAATTTTGCCTTAAGTCTTCCAAGTTTAGCATTGTTGGATTTTGTTTGTGCCAGGATGGAAGTCTTTCAATACCCAAAATGTCTCAGAAATCGATGCTTGCAGTTGAGTAGGTGTCTCCCTGAGTCAGCATGAAACCACTGAGAGCTCTTAGTGTTAAGAAGATTCTGTTGGAGGTGCAGTCTTCAGAAAACACCCAAGATCAGTTGTGAAATGTATTTTTTCTTCTTTTCTTTTATAACCAGAATGTTATTTTGACACTTAACCAACTGTCAGTTCAGGTAATTATGATTTGCCTATCACAGCTTCCTGCTCAAACTTCAGCAAGGCAAGGTCACGCATTTCTTTTCTTCACTCTATCTTGTGCAGTTAGACAGCATTTCAGTATATTGTGAAAGACTAAGTTTCACTCAGAAGTGAGTGAAGAGATTTCTTTACAAGATTTTCTGTGTGCAAGATCCACTGTTTGTTTTAGAGGCATTTTAGGATTCTTCAGGGAAATCATGCAGGCTAAATGTAGGATTCAGAACAACTATCATGTCAAACACCAACTTCCTTAACACGAAATACATGACAAATAGGGAGTGTTGGCTTTTTTTAATCTTTTTATAGCTCTGGATTTGTTTCTGTCTTTCTTTTTTAAGGTACAATATGTTATTCAGGGATACCATAAGAGAAGAGAATATATTGCAGCTTTCCTGAGTCACTTTGGAACGTAAGTTTTCTTTTGATGTGTTATTTTCTATAGGATGGGGGAAAGTGGTTTTCTGCACATGGTCTTTGATTGTGTGACTGCTGTCCACTAGATAAGATGAAATCTGGTCTTTTTTCTCAGAATGCTCTATATAGATTGTCTCTCTGTAGCAGTACTGGATTGAAGTTCAGCATTACTTCACTTCTATGCCAGTTGCCAATCTGATTTGACTAGAAAATAGCTGATTATGGGAGAAGATCAGTAGGGATTTCCTCCCCATGGGAAATAAATGTGTTTATATCTGAATAAATGACTGGAAGGGTCTTTCAATAATAGGCAGTGACTGAGGGAGGAGGATGGGGAGGTGGGTATGGTTCCAAGCCTTGCAGGAGCCAGGCAGGACTGGGAAACCAGCTGCTCCCACCACTGAGAGCAGTATCTTGTCTCTCAAGAGAAAGGGCTGTTGGATTGTGTTGAATTCCTACAGTTAAAAGGTCCATGCCCTGGCATGATGACACATTAGCTTCACAAATCAACTAATCAGGGGTGCCTTGGCACTGTGCAGGGTAGGCACTTTAGTTCCCGACCTAAATCTTGACCTGAGCGAGAGTCCAGGAGCCAATGTGACAGCAACTGCCCAACCAGCAGTGCTTTACTTCATTGTGAGGAGCGGGTTTCTGCTTCCAAGTGGTGATGCAAAATGACGTGGATATTCAGGAGCCCTTCAGATCTCAGGTCTCTCAAGTGAGGGTAGGAAGACAGGTGGCTTGTAGCATGCACCCACATTTTATACAACTACAGATAGAGAACAATGACTTGAACTGGACTTATGAAGAGAGAGTTGATGCCAGCTCAGTCCTTATGAGAACAAGGTACTTCTTTTTCTTTTGAGAAAACCACAGTATAGAAATGACCCAGGTGTGCCTATGATTTTATTTCACTTGGCAAAGTGGTTCATGAGTCCTGATAGTGCTCGAGACTTTTAGAGAACACCGACTCCTGATGGTTGAAACTTTTAATCCATGTACTGAACAAGTCTTCCATATTTAGCTTTTTGTATGCTCTCATGCTTTGCTTTTTTTACATATACTCTTTTGAATTTTCAAATTTAAACTCTTATCAGCCTGCGCATTTTCAATTTTACCCTGTCACTTACTACAGAGTTAATAAATTATCTTAACCTGAGTAACATACAGGGAATTTGTGTGTGTACAGTTTTTTATCAATTTAGTACTGCAGATGCATTAGCAGGTCTCCTTTCATTCTAAAGTGTATTTATGTAAACTGGATATGGTCTTTCTTCAGATAAGAGATTCCGATACCACAGCATAAATAAAAAGATTATTAAGATTAAAAGCTCAAGCTAATTTTCATTTAGCTAGAAGATTGTAACTGTTCATAAATAAAGCAAATACTGGAAGTTTCTGAAGAAACAAACAGAAAACTCAATCCCTGCAATTACAGAATTTGCATATTTATAATTCAGTTTTAGAATGAATGGTAGGTAAAAATTGTATTCATTTTTTTGTTTGTTTTTTTTTTTTTGTTGATAGTGGTGTCGTGGAATATGATGCAGAAGGCTTCACAAAGCTTACTCTGTTGCTGATGTGGAAAGATTTTTGCTTCCTTGTTCACAGTGAGTAACACTTTGCCTCAGGCAAAAATGTCTATCCTCTTGAAGATACAAGTTCAGAAGGGAAAAAATACACTTACAGGAAACAATGTAAAAGTTTTAGCAGTTTTTATCCAGTGCTTAATGTATTTTGATGTAACCATAACAATTTGAAAACACAAATTCCTGATTGTATTTGGAGAAGGGGAGAGGATCCACACTGATAGTGGACTGCCTGCTTTACAGAATGCCAGAAACATGCTGGGAAGGTTTTCTGGTAATTTGATTTAAGATTGAATTCACAGTTGTAACTCATCCTTTCAGAAGTGTGAATAATAAGGAACAATGCTACCCATAACTTGTGAATACCTAAAATCTTCTGTAATTGTCAGGAAATAATGCCTTGATAGTGATAGTAAAGACACTTTAGTGTAAGGAACAGATATTAAGTGAGATATAATACTATATTGTCATTAGGAGCCAAAAGTTATTTCTACACTGAAACGATGTAGGAAAAACTGTCTAACAGTTTGCTACACTATGCAGCTAGATTTGCTGTCATTTGAAATTTTTAGACCAAGATAGTATTACTTTTAAAAGTATATTCTTAATTAAATAAATATATAGGAAATACTTCATGTTGAAATTACTAAGTGTGGCTTTCTTACTGTCTTATCCATGTTAACTTAGGTAGCAATTATGTTTTTCCCAATGGTAAGGTGAAATTCACCGATATCAAAGATATTTTGGTCTGGGAAAATTCAGTCATGTTACTCTTTATTTTTGATTGTTACACTTCTCATCTTTGTTTGAAATAATTACAATGCAATCTGGGCAGGTGCAACATTAGTCTTTGTTAACACTCTAGCACTGGAATATTTCAGATTGCAACATTTTTGATTGTGGGCTAGCTTTTCATGTGGAAAACTAATGATGTCTTAATGACATCACAGAAATTTGTCCCAGAGGTTTTAAAGCAAGAAGTGGGAATTGCCGTTGTTCAGAGGAGTCCTTCACCATGCGTTGTATTGGAGAACATAAAAAATGGTCTCACTGACCACTTTCCTTTTACCTAAGATTTTCACCTAAGATTTCCAGACAGTAATAACCATAAGATGTCCAGAAAACTGAAACCTGAAATTGAAAAACTTCCACCATATTAGTATGATTTCTGTTGTGGAAAAAAAAAAGAAATAAAGCTTATATTATTTTGAAAAATTGTCATTATTGCATCTTTACTTACTCTTCAACTCCAACTGAGAATTGGTCACTGGGCTGTTGCCTTCTATGAGATGATGCTTCTTTATGTACAACCTTCTTGAAGATTTCCTACCTTTCTTACTTCTTAATATGTTTGGCTTAATTTAGTAAGTGTTAAAATTCTTGTGGATTTGTTTTTTGCTGTGGGATAATATGACTTAAGTGTTGAAGCAGTCAGATTTCAGGGGAATCAAAATTCAAATTTCTGTTAAGTAACAGAGAAGGTTTAAACTGGGTAATAGTCACAGTGCTCAATTTAACTGGCACAAAAGCTACAATTATAACTGAATAGTTTATCACTATGTATTAACCCTGTGGCCTTAGAAATCATATAGTGGCTTAGCTGTGTAAGCCGTTGCATCACCCGCTTGTTGAACAATCCACTGCAAATACATTTATGTTCCATGCACAGAAGGATCTTGCAATGAAAGGACCAAAACCTGCACTTCATTTCCTGAGTGAAGTAATGTAGGCTTTCATCTCTTAACCACTGACATAACTATGTATATTATGGTTGAATATTTAGCAGGCATCTAATAAAATGTCTGGGAGAGATAGCCGTAAGTTTAAAACTGTTCTACTTTATATTTACTGTAGTATGTAAAGTATTCAGAGGAGTATAAATAGGTCAGTATACAGCAGGAACCATAGTAAATTTTACTGTCATCTTAATTTTAGCTTTAATTGAGATTGTGAGTTATATTCCTTTAAAAGACGCATTCAGAGATTTCAAAAATAATTTGGGGGCTTTTTTGCAACTATTTGCATTCAGTTATAAACTTGTTTGGAAACTAGGAAGCAAAACACATTAGAAGTAAAGGGAAATTACCTAGAACAGTTTTATGGAGTAAACTGAAACAAAAACAAGAGGAGGGAAATGAGAAAGTAGTTCTGAATTGCCAAAGCCCAGTAACTTCAGAAAAATTCCACTTGCTGAAAGAAAAAAAGATTTGTGCAGTAGTTACAGAATGAAAAGTCTACCCACTCTACCTTAAAACACAGAAGAGCTACCCAATTGCAAACTTAATCAGTAGATTAATGTAGCTGCTGAAGTTATTATATTAGATCAAAGAGCAGTCAAAGGAATTGTTGCTTTAGTGGTTTAGTTCTAAAAATAGATCAACTGCTTGCAAATATATGACAGAAGAAATAACATTCAGAGAAGTTCATGAATCAACATAGAAGAGGAAATGGTTAATCAGGCTTATTGCTTTTGATACTGATACTGTTTATGAGTAAGTTTCAGTATGAAGCTTTGTAAGTGAACTTCAATATACTACTGATTTATTTCTCTTCTTGTTTATAAATCAGCTATCATTAGTTTTCGGAGACAGATATTTCTTCATATTCTTGTTCCTCTATATAGTGTGTGTATTTGTACCCTATATAAATATAAGGGTACAAATATAAGTGCACATTTAAGAATTAAGTATCGTTATTGGTATGGACACAAGAATAGGACTCCAAAGCAACCTGTATATAGGCTTCTCAAAGATTAATTTTTATCTTATGAGATTTTTAGGTTATCAGAACAAAGGAGATTGACAGTAGTTGGACCAGTTGCAATACCAAATGAAACACTGCTTATGTTACTGCTTATTTGTTTAAGACATCTTGAAAAGGTCAGATATTAAACTAAAAAAGTTTGGTTTCATTGAACAATATTTCAGGGGATGGAGAATGTTGGAAGCTGCCAGAATTTGTATATTAAGTTTGTATGGGATCTCAGACTTAGGTGAAGTTAGTGGGAACGCTTGCTGCCAACTGACCTTGGCTAACAAAAGAATTTCAGCTTCTGTGTTGGGTAGTACTAGTGACCCAAGAGATCCAAAGTGCTGGTCAAGTAAAAGCTAAAGTTTAATTAACGAGTGCTGTGGGATCACAAACTGAAGTAGCTTTTTGTCCATCTTCTTACCTATCTGTGCAGTTATGTGGTTACCTCTGTCAGAAAACAGATCAGAAATAAGCAGCATCTTGTCAGGAAGGAGGTTTTTACACAGGGGTGAGAAGCAAACAAGGAGCCTAGAGCATTAACTGGGTTACGGGAGGTTATACCTATGAGTATCAGGCTTTGGGTGGACACCTGCTTCTGGATTCAGGGTTTCTTGGTGGAAGTCATCAGTGACAGCTTCTGATGCTTTCTGGTTTGTATATTGCTATCTGAACACGTTTGTCAGCAGAACAATTTGTGCCAATGCAGTCATTCACACAAGCCTCTTCTGGATCAGGATTAGCACATCTGTCCACAGCCTCAGAAAGCAGCTTGGAAAATAAAGACACAAAGAATTTTTGGTAGCCATTTTTGTCAGATGAAGATTGGGAGGAGGGGGGAAAAAAAAAAAGGACATTTTAGGGAAAAATATTGGTAGCTGGGAAGACAAGTTTACACTACTGTGCAAAGAAAGTGCAGTTCATTCCAGTAGTGTTCAGAGGAAGAGGAATGTGTGGCCACTCACTGTAAATAAACAAAATTACGCTGAAGTCGTTTGTTTTATAGTTCCCTTCCCAAGCATAAATAACTCATTAGGCTTCAGATACTGTTTGAATCATTCAGTAGAGCAACAATAATCCTTAGAATTTAGGTAAATGTTAATTTTTCAGGCACCTTGTGTAGTTTAAGATGTTACCTGCCCTTTAAAGGAGATTGCCCTACCTCTGAAAAGTCAACAGAACAGAGCTAATGAGCATTCATCAGCCCCTTCATCTAGTCCTCCTGCAGCTGTTTAAATAAACAAGTTAGACTTTGTGGTAATAAATGTCTAGCAAGGAGGTTTGGTAAAGTCTTAAATGGAAGATTTTTTACTTGAACATGTGTCTGATCACTTAGAGTTTGCAAGTTGGGATTAGGAGAGATTATGTGAGAAGGAAAAAGTATTTTCTTCCATCTAAGATTGTACTTATTGTTCTTTTTGAAATCGCTTCTGCAGATTCCTATTTGAAAAATCACATGCCTACCATAATAACTCCACAGTCACTGAGATAATAAAAATGTTTCAGAAATATTTGTTTGTCTGAGCAATTTGAAACACAGAACATGAGACTGTTTCATGTAAACATTCCCATAAATACTTCAATAAACCTTTATCTACCTATAATTCTGGCCGTAGAGCCCTCTCTGTTATATAGGATCTATAGATCTTGTTAAATGTAAATATGAGAAACAGCTAGTGTTTGTTGTTTGATACAATATTTAATGCGTTTGGAATATGCTCAATGACTCCTGTGTGCTATGAATAACCATTTCGGTGGGGTTGGTAGTTTTCAGAGACACATTTTTTCACTTTTCTGTCATGTAAGATTTGCTCACATACCTTTTGGAAGATGAAAAGAAGACAGCCTTCAAGAGTTGCTTTTCTTCATCAGTATCAGTACCTGACAGTCATCACAATTAGCACTTAAAATTCCAGGAAAATAGTCTTTGAAGGAAATTCAGATTGAATTGGCTCTACTTCTTCATGGAAGTTAGCCTGATTGTGAAAGAGAAACCTCTTCAAGAAAAGATATGGAAAAATAAACTGTTGTCTGCCCCAGTCGTTTCCTGAAAAAGGACCAAGTGTTGAGTGGAATATGTACATTACATTGCTTCTGTGAGCTTTTATCTAAGGAGGTGTTTTGACTTCCTTGCATAGTGCTTTTATTCTTCTCATTGTTCCTTAAATGAAAACAGGAATTTATGACTCTCTGAAAATTAAGAGAAAAGGAAAAAAGAGAGAACATGACAATGTGAATAACAAGTTATAGGAAAATAGTGATGTCTGGTAGTG